AGAGAGAGAGAGAGAGAGAGAGAGAGATTAAATTTACAGCTTAACATAATTAAGCATATATGATAAATTTCAAGTTTACAAGTAAATTTACAAATAATAGTAATGTTATTAAATTTTGAAGTTTGTTGTATAAGATGAATCATTTAAGCGCATACCGAAAAATACAAGTAGAGCGTTTCTTCCCGTTCTTGATTTAGATCCAATTTTTCCACTCAGCAGCTTCTCACTTATTTCTAATGGTTCTGGTCTTTTAGAGCCTGAAGGTTTATACACTCCATCTTCGTAAGCTGCTGGCAGTCTTCTTAACAACGAAGTATCGACTGCACCTAGTTCTGGTCTACCAACGTTATTGTTCCATCCGTCGTAACCAGGATATTCGATTGCAGTGTGATACGGTGAGCATTTATTCGGTTGATTATTACTTCCACCATTCCAACATCCAGTAAACAACCAATCTGTCAAGTCCCTATCGAACGTTTTATCAACCAACTTTTTATCCGGCTTCTTGAAAACTGTAAAATGAGAAAAGAGCAAAATATAAGAGATAAACTTTACAAAAAGAAATTACAAGGTTTATGCCATCAGATTTATACAGCTTATAATACGAGATACTTTATGTATATATTAAAATGTATGTATGTATGTACGTACATTTATTCGGATTCGGCGTAGATGTAGATGGAGGTTGCCGTTGTATTGTAGAATTTTGTGCAGCAATTAATGACGAGAAATTAATTACGATAATGAATAAATTAAAATTAAAATACATGTTGTCCTTTATTAACGCGACATATGTAAAAAATATATATGTTATATTTAAGAGTTATCTCTTCTAGCACTATCCACTCATTTATTTGGAGCTGCAGCAATTTCTACTGAGTGATTTAGTTTGTACGAGTGGCTTGATTCGACTACACACTTCCTCTCCATACGATAAGGCAGGAAACACTTGCAGGAAACCAAAAATATGAATCACTGGCAGATATAATTAGATCATGAGCAAGAAGATTACGAGTTTAATAATTCATTTGATAATTCATTACGACCAGATAGATATACAAATAGATGTAATTCTATTATTCTGTTATAGACTATTATAGAAATTAAGCGTAAGAGTAGCGTGTGTGATGTATGCACCGAGAAAGAAAGTTTTTTGGTTCGCAATAACCACTAGAATCGTGATATTAGTATTACAAGTGATTTTTAATGTATTAGTCCCCGATCATCATGCAGATGCATTTAAAAGACCTTTAGATTCTACAGATCAAGTTTCCCTCTGTGATCAAATAATTTATTTTCTATTTAATGGTCTTACACGTTGGGATGGAGAATATTTTTTACATATTGCAAGATATGGGTATACGTATGAGAATACTCTCGCTTTCTATCCGTTATATCCAGCTATGATTCGCATTATCGCCGTTATTTTGACAAAAATATTTCCTTTATTCAACATCCAAAGTACAATGATCATTGCTGCGATTTTGATTAATTTCATATGTTTTGTAAAGTCGGCTATTATCTTTTATGATCTCACTAAGCGTGTATTTCAAAATACTGTAACGGCGTACAAAGCAGCGATACTATATTGTATAAACCCAGCTAGCATATTTTTCTCAGCTCTATATTCAGAATCCATGTTTGCGTATTTAACATTTTACACCATGCTCGGAAGTATCGAGTGTATATCTAACATTTATTTTCCATTGGCTTTGTCAACTTTGGTAAGATCAAATGGTATCGTCAACATTGGCTTCCCTATATATTTCAGGCTTAAAAATTTAGTAAATTTGGGTAATTCAGAAAGAATGGAAAAAACAAATGGACAAAAACACGATGTATTATCAAACTTGTGGTATATTTTAAAATTAATTAAGTTAAAAAGCTGTTTTATCATATTAAGCACAATGATTATATCGCTATCTCCATTTGTTCTTTTACAAATATACAATTATATGAAATTTTGTACCTCTACATTCGATAAGTCGTTGTTGCCAGTTCACATTTTACAATATGCCATGGAAAATAATCTGATTCTACCAGGTAAAACCGACTCAATATGGTGTAACGCTAGTGTGCCCTTAGCATACTCATATGTGCAAAATACATATTGGAATGTTGGATTCTTGAGATATTATCAATTCAAACAAATACCGAATTTTATTTTAGCTCTCCCGATATTGTATATTACATTGCAATGTATAAAAGAATTTGCTTGTGAATATAGGGATGAATTGTACTTGTTAGGATTTTTTGATAGCAAAGCAAAAAGTGAAAGTGCTATTAAAGTAAAAAAATATCCATCAAGTATGCTTGTCTTTGTAGTACATGGATTATTTCTAACCATGTTTTGCTTATTCTTTGTACATATTCAAGTTAGCACACGTTTATTAGCCTCTGCAACTCCCTTGATATATTGGTATTGTGCATTGGCCATGTCTCACAAATATGACCATATCGATCAATACGAAAGTGACGAAAATATGTGCTCCAAGTGGAAAGTATTTTTTTTATCTCAACAACGATATACATTGCAAGATAAATTTGTATTATTTTACTTTGTAGGATATACAATCGTAGGATGTTTTATGTTTTCAAATTTCTTGCCATGGACTTAATATACATTATACTGCATATATACGTGTACGAAATGTATCTCCTCTATCTCTCCGTCTCTCTGTCTTCGTGCTTCTTTTTTTTTTAATTTGTTAAAGAACATTTCAAATTTTTTTCAAATACATAAAACTCTCGTATGTGCAAACGAATTTTTAGAGTCGCAAACTGCTTGCCAATAATACTAAAATATTAGTTTTGTATAAAAATTTAAAGCAAGGTAACTATATTTGTGTATGTAGCAAAATTAATATATATGTTACATTAGGATCCGATGATGTTAACGATGAAAAAAAAGATTTTGGTCAAATTATTCTGAAAAACATACACAAACATTTACATGTAGCTAACATGTATATAGAATTTTGTTAATAGGCTCGTTAATCGTCGATGTTTATATATTTCTAAGTTGAAAAGTAGAACCAGTTATATATGTAAAAACATTATCTTTTACTAAACTATATACATACTCCATTTATACATATACAACCGATAGATATTTTAGCTAGCTTTGATATGCAATTTTTTATGCTTCAATATTTCGATAGGCGTGAGATATAATGTTAGCAAACAATTAGGACATTTGTATACTTGACTATTAGCTTTTCGTGTGATATTTTCACTTTTTTCATCAATGCTAGTCGTATCTGCGATTGTAGTACAAGAGTTCTGATGTTGAAGCTTTTCGATACTCGACAGGATTGCTTGAAAATTACAATTTTCGCAATGCCATTCGGTTTCTTGGATTTCTGCAATTAGCTGTTCACTCCAATTAGTTTCTTTTACACTGTAATGTAACGATTAGTTTTATTAATAAAAACAGTGATGTTCGTATTTGTATTGATTTAGCCTAAGAATTTTACATTTTATACAATTCTTGACAAATAATTATATCTTGCTGTATATTAATATTTTTTCGTACTTACCAATTGTATGTAATATTATCTGTTAAATAAACTCCACCTTTAATTATATTTGGTACACTTTTAAAATCAGATTGGAAAGGATTAGGCTCTACAGTCATGTCATTATTGCCATTACCAACATATATCATTTTCAGATCGGCTGGTAAGAGCCGTTTTATAGTGTATGGTATCGCAGTATGCATATATTCAATCAGTTCTTGTGTAAAACTTTGTTCAACTTGACCAAAATCTTTTTTTTCATCGTTAACATCATCGGATCCTAATGTAACATATACATTAATTTTGCTACATACAAATTTAATGGCTTCAAAATAAAATCCAACTTTAAATTGCCTATACGAGCCGCGTCTAACAGTTATAAGTGCGATGTACAAGAATAAACACATATTATGAACAATACAATTCATAATGAAAATTTCTACATACGTTTCGATTCTACTTTTAGATCCTCTTCATTGTATAAAATCGCAGTAATAGTTATATGATAAAACAATGGCTCTCATTTTTCCCATCGTTCATACATGTATACAAAATATATATATCTTGTATAGAAAAGGTACATCAAGTCAAACGGTAGAGAAGTACAGAGTAAAACGTTATAACTATTGCAGATATAGACGCAATTTTAAGTTGGATTTGATAGATACTTAACATTTTATATGTTAATTAAAAGAGACACACACGAAATACATTTCTTACTTTGCAATTGTTGATTTAATAAGAAATCCCACTTATTTCTTAATTTGGTAGCTTTCATTAATAAAACTTGACCACTATCAGGCGCAGGAAATTCTAACATCAGCCACGAATCGCATGCTATTCTAATAAGATGTAAAAAATATTTTATATTATCGCTAAAAATTATTGCTATCTCATTAGGAAATTATAAAATTTACAAAGTTGATATACTTACATGGAGAATGTGCTATTTGTGTCTATTTCATGCGCAAATAATAGCAACGTTTGTGCGGCAGGCATTCTTAAAGTATTTACCAGATATGGTTTGGTAGTTTCCAAGAGAGATCTTATAGATTGAAATAAAATTAGTTAGCATATTATATAAAGAGCGTTTAAATTTACTCATGTTTGACGTATATTAAGTTGGAGAGATAGAGAGGAGAGAGAGAGAGAGAGAGAGAGAGAGAGAGAGAGAACGCTACAAGTCTAAAATATATAAATATAAGTTATTATATACTTATGTATATAAATATTATTACATACTTATATATAACTATAAGTATATAATAAATATAAAAGTATAATATAGAAATAATAAAAACTTACAGATATACCAATATCTGATGTTTCGAACTAACAGGAGCCTTGCTCGTAAACCCTGGCATTGGCATTATATCCGCTTCTTCGAGTTGCAAAACTTGTGGATGATTTCCAAAAAAACTCATTGGATGCAAAGCAACATATGGTTTCGCTTTTGTGTGAAACAATTGCTCACTTGTAGACTGGATACAAATAATTTCAAGATACACGTATCATATATAAATACATATCTATGTCATTTTACAAATATATTATATATATATGTATGTATGTATACGTATATACACAGAATGATTTGTAAATATGTATAAGAAAATATTTTCTTGAATTTATTACATAATTCAGAAAGCATATAGCCTCGTAATATCTTTTAAGAGTTTTAAGCTCTAAATTTAATCTCCCTAATGTATTACACATGTATATACATGTATATACATGATGTTACATACATAATTATGTATATAAGCATATATAAGGATGAATCAAAACCTATATAAATACATATATACACAGTATATAATTTTTACCTTGCAATAATTAAACTCGTCGGCACAAGCAAATTGTGGATATAAACCACTACATAATATCAATTTCAACATCATTAGATCTTTATAGGTACATGCGGTAGACGCTGTTAAAAGATTCTGCACCTGACTCGAATCATTTCTCATTCGAAATTCTATATCTTTCATGTCGAGCTCGCCCCTGCCCTCATCATTATCCTCCAATTGTATATCGAAGGTTTCTACTTTTAATTGTTTACGCCTTTTAGGCTCATTTTGTCTGTAAGTTCTTTTGAGAGATTTCAAAAGTTTCAATTCTCCATGTCTTATCGCACGTTCTGCGCTCGTCATGGAAGAATTTGGTCCTGGGAGACTCTTGAGCAAATTGCAGTCCTGCATGATGTTACCGTGATGGCGTACATGCACAGGCGAAAAAGTAGCATTAGCTATTAAATCCTAAGGTTGATATTAAAACGTAAGAAACGTAAGAGAGGTATAAACTAACTTGGAGTAAGTCTTTAAATTGGGCCCTCAATTTCGTCATTTCGTAGAACCGTTGTTCCTCTAAACCTCTTCTTCTGCACCATTTTCTACTGCTATTACTATTGCTTCTATATTCTTGACAATTTTCTTGTTTCACTTCCAGCCATTCTTTAAATGCATTCAGTAACGTTATTGGATCACCATGATCGGATTCTAACTTCTTTCTAGATGTCTGCAATATTATCGTAATTGTTTCATTGCGTAATTAATATTGTAGCGCAGTTGTTTCATACATAAGCACCAATTTACTTCACATTCGATGTCTCTGTAAGCCCTGTTGGTGAATGGTGTTTGTATACTTAGAGCAGAAGCCAATGACAGCACGGGATCCACCTGATGAAAAATGGATCCCATTATTAACATCTTCCCTATTGTAATATCAACAGGCAGCCGTGCTAAGGCTTTACCTATACATGTGATCTTTTCGTTGTCCATAAGTGCACCCTAATAAGGAAAAAGTTTAACTTTACACTTTATGCTTCTAGTATTTTGCGAAAAAAAAACCAAAAAAAAAAAAGACCGAGATACCAACGTGATCTTTTAGAGATAGTACAGCGTTTTCTATACTATTGGCTGATGGTGGTTCTATAAATGGAAACTTTCGCACATCAGGAAGTCCCATCGCTATCATTTGCAATAGTGAAGAATCTAAAGGTACACGTTGCAATTCTGGCGTTGAATATTTTTCCAACATCCTGTACTCTTCTTCTGAATAAATTCTATGAAAGTGAATGAAACAATGTTATTTATCCCTTTTTCATGTAAAATGATGAGTAAATTCACAGAATTCACAATATTTGAGATGAATTACCTATAACAAACTCCAGGTCCAGTCCTGCCAGCTCTTCCTTTTCTTTGTTCCGCACTGGCCTTGCTTATCCAAAATTCTTTAAGTCTTTGCATTTTACACGATGGATCGTAACTCATTTCCTTCACTTTTCCACTATCTGCGACAAATCTGATTCCATCAATGGTAATAGAAGTTTCCGCAATATTAGTTGCGACAATACACTTCCTAACACCGTCAGGTGCGTAATCAAATACCTAGAAATGAGAAGAAAAAGGGAAAATATTTTTGATATTCTTTGATGCATACAAAAGTGATTTGTCGAAATAGTATTGTGAAAAAAATATACCTTGTCTTGCTCAATGATAGAGAGAGTACTGTGAAGTGGTAAAACTATCCAATTATTTTTCTTCGTACTGTATTCCTTGGCAGCATCTACGACTGCAGTAATTTCACTTATTCCGCTCAAGAATATTAATAAATCACCCTTTTCATCAACTGAAACATTTCTATCGTTGTAATTATTTCAATTTTGTATTTGTGGTAATTTAAAATAAAATAGCGAAGGAACAGAGAGAGAGGGGGAGGGAGGGAGAGAGGGAGGGGGAGAGAGAGAGA